ATCGTCTGCGATAATATCGTAATTGTTGTTTTAACGATGTGCAATTTGACATTATCGAGTATTTTGCAAAAACCATTCAAAACACCCCTACAGAGCGCACGCATACATTACGTGAAGTCTAGACTAGTGCGTGTGCGCATTTAGAGTGTGTTCTTTCACTGATTCAGTCTAATAAAATACATTTAGAATGATCACAAAATTCAAGACATGGGGGCAGAAAATTTACATATTTATACCACTTCATATAGGCTAGTTAATCAATTTCACACAAAGATTGCCGTTTTTTTCTCCAAAAATTACCATAATTACAAATGTGATATTGATTTTTTACAACAGTTCAATAAACAAGAAGTTAATTTAGACTAACGTTTTAGACACCATATTGCCTGTTTTTGCTTTATTTCACCAACAAAAATAATTCCAAACACAGCCACCACAGCACTGTTCTGCGTCTCTGAGCAACATAACAGTGTTTCGTTCCGTTTAAATGATTCGGATCAGTCGCAATGACTCACTTATTAACAGTGACTTGCTGCCACCTACTGGCGGTTTTACATTCAAAGTATTTCACATTCAAAGTATCTTTTTATTATTTAAATAATTTCAAATATCAGTATTCAATGTTTCATGTTTAATATATCAAAACATTATTTCTGCATTTGTAGCTGCAGGTTAAATGCATTCATGTCCTGCACTAAACAGTGTGTAAACACATCTAAACGCCTCTTCAGACGCAGCTTCTGTGTTTCCTCTGCATTGCAAAGATGAATTTTGTTGATACTGATTTTATTTGCTTGGTAACAGCCCAAAAGTCTTATTCTAATTCACTGATTAAATGTAAGAATTTGACATGAAAGATAACGCACACTTTTAGAAAAATGGCTTTATAAAGGATTAATTTCTATCAGTGTGAACTGACCACCACAAGAATATCAAAAACTTAAGAAGTCAGTTTAAGATACCAGCACAATAACACACTCAGCAAAATATCGTCGATAAAATCCCAGAAAGTATGGAGATATAATTTTTTGTCAGTATCGCAGGATATCCACACGGACACGCACTTCTCTGAGCGTTGAGCTCCACAGGCTGATATTTGACGGACTTGCTGCCTCCGATCCTCTTCAGACGGGCGAAGAAGGTCTGCGACTCCTTACTGCTCGCTCCCGTCGGAGTATCGTGGATGTCCGACTCGTCAAATACGCTGTCCTCCTCTACACAGGGAAACACAGGGCATTAAGCGACAGCACATCACTAACCGTTCCCGTGATGCCGAGCGCGATCTGTACCTTTCTCCTTCTCGCTGTAGCGGCTGGTGTTGGAGTTGTCGCTGTACAGCGGGCCTGTGGACACGTGCGACCTGCAGCTGTGGTACTGAGCGTTCAGCGTGTTGATGGTGATGTGGATCAGATGGAGCACCACCTCTTTACTCATGTCCATCTCTCTGTATGGATACTGAAACACAGCACGACACAGTGAAGAAGATGCCAAGATCCCTGAATATCTGATTAAGAAGACTACAGTTACTTGCAATGAGACTGTCTGTGGAACAAAAATGAACCACAACTTTTCTACTGAAGTGCAACACTGAACCAGTGTTTTTAGATGCTTTTAGAGGAATGAGATTCATGTTCTTTGTGCTATTCTTTTCACAAGAGAGATCACTGTTTGCTTTCAAGTAGAAGAGAAACTACTTTAGTAATAATAAATAGAAATCCACTGAAGAAAATTCCTGCTCCAATGATAGATTTATCTCTCTTCCAATAACTATTACTACATTGAACTCTAATGTGTGGTTTATTTACACTTGATGTATAGTCAGTGGCATAACTAGGATTGTACACGTCCCAGTGCAAAAACACTTGAAAACATGAAAACATGTTTTTAGTTTTCATAGCTTTGACCTGGACATCTTTTCACTAATACAATCCCTAAATGAATTTCTTAAAGCTGCAGTCCGTAACTTTTGGCGCTCTAGCGGTTATTAAACAGAGCTGTGTGCGTCTTGCATAAGAACATTGCAGCCGGAGCTACTTCTCTCTGTTTATGTCTCTGATGAATCCCGCAGGTACTGGGCTACTCCGCAGCGGTTCCACCAGAACCAGTCTGAAACAGTCCGAATATACACACTTATTATAGGTGTACCGTAGTGATTCAGGACAAGCCAAAAACATGGTTTGGACAATGGATTCATGGTGTATTCACACATAACAAAAAAGTTATGGACTGCAGCTTTAAAATAAAAGTGGTCAGTCTGTTTATTTATTCTGAAATTTCCCATTCGGTTTACAAAGCAGCATGCGGGATCTTGATAGGTTGAGTTTCAGTTGTTTTCCTTTTTTCTGTTTTTGTTCATTGTTATTACAGAAAAGGGGAATTTGCTAATGCTTCTATTGCACTTGCACATTTCACATTCCCAATAAATATATCTATTTAAAAAAAAGCTATATTTGGGATAAACGAATTACCACTAACCCAAATATTAAGCCCATTACTTTGTGGGCCAGAGTTTTGCATGGCCAAGCACTACTCTCATTTCCTACAGAAAGTGTGCAGAACAAGTTTCATATATTGTTTGAAATGAGTCCATTTGGTTTCTTAGTATGTTTTAGGCCTATAATAATAATGCACATAACTCTGTAACTCAAGAGTGTTTGGAATGTAAAGACATCCCGCAGATAGAGAGATATATCCAGAGACATCTCAGCATCCTGGCCACAGTTCGGATGAACACCTTGTAGAGGATGACGAGCAGGGCCTTGAGCCACATCTGTCTAGTGTGAGGTCTGAGGGCCCAGAGCGAGCAGCGCGGCGGCTCCTGGAAATTGGGCCTCAGCTGCGGACACGTGCAGTACTTCAGCACCTGCACCACCAGCGGCAGCAGCTGTTTGCCCATACCGATGTTATAGTCCATCACCTGAGGAGACAAAGCAATCCGTCGGGAACACGTCACGCTCCTCACAAAGGCTGTGTCTGAAATACCCTTAAATAGGGCACAGCCATTGTCACTGGTGTCTGAAACCTTAGTGGACATTATCGAGTGCACTCATTCAATCCCACAATGCACAGCAATAACGAGTGTACAACCAATGTTCACTCAACAGCTAGAGAATACCCACAATGCACTGTAAGAGTCACACGCTGAATGAATTCCCGCATCTCACCAGAAGACATCTCACTCTTCCACGGCGTACAGCGCAATACAGGTATAAATTCATTGTAAATTGATTTTTTTAGTTGTATAATTAGGGTTTATACATAATTTCCATGACAGAGTTCAAGATAAATCCTATAGTTAAACAGTAAGCACAAACTATGCAAGAGCACTCAGTGTCTGCATTCACTCACTCGTTTTCCTTCACTCCCTCAAGTGAGCTGTATTAGTGACCTAACGTAGGGAATAGTGAATGCAGAAAGCGGGACTCACCCGAGCGATTCCTGCGATGAAGGCGTTGAAGCAGGTGGAGGAGCGCATTTTCTGAGGAGTGATCATGAAGCATCCCATCTGCTGATCGTATCCCAGCAGGACGTAGAGATGCCGCTTGACAGTGTTGAAGGCTTTGGCGCTGCCGATGTCTGCCTCTGCGCTGCTTTTGTCTTTGGCCATGAACTTCATGAGCACCATGATGAGCTGATGGACGGTCTGGTGGTCTATGCCTGCGTCCTCCGGCAGCAGATCCTTAATGACGGAGTCGTCCTCTGGAGGAGAGCTCTCTCCTGCACGGTAACAAGGTGTGGCGCTGTTAGTCTCCTCTACAGACGCTCTACAATGGTTTGTTAGAGGGGCCTATTATGCTTTTTCATATTTATGCAGTTCATATTTCAGAAGGAGGGGCTTCACTGAAACAGGAACTAAACACAGCGTTCGAGACAGACTGGGAAGAGAGGTGCTGCAATCATGTAAAATATGTCAAAAAAATTATGCGTTTTTGGAACAATCAAGCATGAAAACCTTTCCTAGCACACCCCAACATCAAGACTCTGTGAAAGGGCATAATAGAAGCTGATGTTTGGGTGGCCACAAGTGGCTCTGAGGTGGAGTGATGATTCTGAACACAACTAAAGTACTGATGAATGTAAGTAAGTCGTGAGTGACTGTCGACGCTGTGCTGCTATGCTTGACGAGGTTAGTGTGCTTCACCTGTCAGGACTTTCTCGAACATGTTTCCTAGTATGGGTGCCGACTGCTCTTGTCTTATGAGTCTGAGAGCTGAATCCAGAAAAAAGAGAAACAGAAAGTGAAGGACATCTTTGGTGAATATTAGCAGGACTCTCTGAGGTGTGAGACATGTGATGGAAAAGCAGCAGGGCTACAGAAGTGCAGGTCACTCACGCAGTTTGTTGCACAGTGTCTCCGGGAGGGAGAAAGTGCGTTTGGACCCGGATGAACCCTTGACGCTTTCTCGTAGCGAGCGGACGCTCTTCTGACGGTTGCGGGCGAAGCGAGCACGTCTGATCTTCCACATGGCCGCATCGCTCAGGTTGGCCACATTAGTCCTCACCGCTGTGATCGCTTACGGAGCAAATCAAGACATGATCAACTTGGTGTATAATCAGGGTTTCTGCAGGCTTTATGAAGGTACATTTAAGACTTTAACACCTTTTCAAGACCAAGTGAAGAAAAATGTAAGAATAAATTGAAGGGAACACAAGTCAATATGTCCTCTAAATGTAAATGTCCAGGAGAACACAATGAGTTTTATTAGCATTAATAGTTTGAAAATACATCGTCTAACATATCTCCATGACTTTAATTTAATAGCTCTGCTGCAAAACACTGTAATATAGAAATAACTGTTACTGTATCTTCTGATCACACTGCAACAAAAGTGCTGCTCTTCCTCAGTATTTCTGTCTTTTTCCAGTGAAAATGTCTAAAGATTCTTAAATCAAGATACATTTGCTTCAGATGCAAAATGCCATAACAAGCCTTGTTTTACAAGAACATCAAAATGAGGTGAACTTATGATTTAAAAAGAACAGATATCTGCCAATGGGCTCAGAAATATCAACTTAATTCAAAGGTAATTCAAGTTTTCATAATTAATACCTAATTGACAGATATTTGTTTTTGTTACAAGCATAAATTTAATTATGTTCAGTTTGTCAGAAAGCAAGACTTCATATGTTCATTTAGCATCTCAAGCAAATGTATCTTGATTTAAGGATATTTAGATATTTGTACTGTACTTTTTTTCAGTTACACTTGGGTGACTTTATTAATTTATGACTTTCTGCACTGAACTAAGACCTTTTCAAAGCCTTAATATGTGGAAGGGTGAATGAATCCTTGCAGAGACCCACTTCATACTCCACACACACTCTATACAGCGCTGTAGACGTGCTGACATGAACAGTTAATTCAAACACACTCACTGGTAGGAAAAGGAAACTCTTTGTTGCAGTCGAGGTGCAGCTGGGCCTCGAGCGACAGCGTCTCGAAGCGGTTGACGAAGAACTCCCAGCTCAGAGCGGGGATCTCCTGTCGGAGCGAGTGCAGCAGCAGCAGTTTGCTCAGGATGACGGGCCGGTCCCTGACCACCGTGTCAAACTGGAAGTCCAGGCACAGACACAGGCCCTGGTGGAGGACACACAAACACACGTTAGTCCCGGTCCCTTCGTGACGTGACGGGGACACTGGTGCGATCAGGTCTCTGTCACCTGCAGCGCGGGCCGTTTGATGGAGTCCAGCAGCAGGCGCGCTCTGGTGGCCACGGCGGGGTTCACGTCCTCGATGCTGGCCAAGAAGCAGCAGAAAGCGTGAGCCAGAGAATACTTCAGCACGTGGCTCTTAGTGACCGAGCCCATGTCCAGAAACCGGCACAGGACAGCCACGCGCTCCACTGAAAGAGACAGCCATTACTTCATACGGCTCTGCCAGAGATAACAGAAATAAAATCATCTAACATCAACAATCACTGACGGTGTCATCAACTACTGTTATGATCATTGAAATACAGAAAAGGGTGTGCTACATTAAAAGGAACTCACCAATGAAAAACAAGGATCTGCAAGGCATTCAAGTGGTTGGAAATAAAGAGCCTTTAATAAATAAGGGCTAAATCATTACAAATGTTCTTGGCCAATATGTTTTGGCTTTAAACAGCTTTCCTCCGGGTACCAATCACTTATCCACAGAGAGTCATGTGCAGTATATAAAAATGACCACATCGATGGGTGTAAGTATCTATCATGAAGGAACCGGATCAGTCAGCTGGATGATAGGAGTGGGAACAGAGCGAAAGGTATCAGACACACTGCAGGAACTACGCTACCTGGAGAAACAGATTCTACACCATTTCTATAATTGTCCTGTTTGTGCCTTTCTTTCTTTTCTTAATTATGCTCACATATTCTATGGCACTCTATTGTGTGTGAATTGATTGTAGTCACTCTCACTTGTTAAAGGCTTTTTATGTTCATCCACCCAAGTGTCTTGCAATTCCTTGTTTTTCATTGAATGTTGTGATGAATTGGCCATCATGGCACTAGTGTGCTGTGGATGGATGAGTGTGGTTTTACTGCATTAATATCTGGTTATTATTGTGTTGCTGGCAGGTGTTCAAGAGTCCTGTATCCTCGCGTCTCTGTGATCTTCAGGTCTGTGGACACTGCATCAAATCACTAACCCTGAATATAATCTCTGGGAGTAGTTTGCAGATTTCTCATGAGTTGATGTTGATAACAGCTCATGTGATGACGTGTCCGATCGGATCACCTTGTCTCCTAAAAGTTGAAATGAGTAAGAGCAGCGACTGATGTAGCAAACAGCACTAACTCATCGTATGGTCACACTGTGAGCAGTAAATGATGAACCCGTCACACAACACGTCAGTAACAGCCTTTCAATCCTCTTTATTTGCGCAGGTCGTGTCTGTGTGAAAGCGGATGTCAGAGGATGTCTGACTCTAGCTCGAGGTCACAGCTTCTCTCTCTCAATCACCATAAGAGCTCCAGATAATCCCACAGCGTTTTAGCAAATGAACAGAAAGCTGCAGACGAGAGTGCGGTCAGACCTGCTTCGAAGCGAATCTTCCAGTCTTGACTGTTGAAGCTGCTGTCCACCAGCCTCCAGAAGATATCTGCGGCGTGGGACAGAGCGAGCGCGTGCAGGAGCTGCGGCACAGCCAGAGACGCCAGCTGACAGAACTCTGACCTCAGCATGGACCACAAGCTGGACACAAACAACACCCAGCCACCTGATCATGAGATGTGCTGTTCACACAGAAACATTCCTGACTCTGAGCTCAACTGTACGTCACGGAGAGACATGTGCCAGTATTCTGTAATGCGATAGATCACGATAATGAATATGCACGATACTGTTATCGTGGGCACTTCAAAATACAGAGAATAATTATTTATTACAAATTATTCCAAATTTTGAATGCATTTTAAGAATACTTTTCCCATCAACTGGTCACAATTCACATTTTATTTACAATTTATTTTCAAAATTTTTCACATTTTAATCTGGACTACAACAGGCCCTAGATATTGTTTGAAAGTGTTTTGATTCGTTATTGTTCGGTCACACTTTACATTAAGGCTTCATTAGTTGACATTAGTTAATTCATTAGTTAACAAACTGCCAATGAAAAAAATCTTCTAAACATTCATGAATCTTAGGTAATTCCAATGGGGATCAGCTGAGAGTCAGCTGATGCGAGCTTGACTAACGTGACCTGCCAGAACTAACGCTACGCTAGATTTAACATAAAAATTCTTCTGAACATTCATTAATCTCAGGTAATTCCAATATTTAACAACACGTTGTTTATTATTAGAAAAAAGTTATTAAACCCATTATACTGTATTATGACAACACTTTTTTGCAACTAAATTTCAATATCATGATAATACCGTTACCGTGATAAAAGCATTAGCGATGAATCTCAACATGGTACCTGGGAATGAGCATCTTCTCCTGTATGTAGGCCAGGAACTGAGGCTGATCTTTCCTGGCGTGATACAGGCATTCTCCGTGCAAACACAGGATCTTCAGACAGCTGAGCATGTTGAAGAGGATGTCTGGCTCCTCAAACTTACTCATCTCCTACAAGAAACATCGCAGCAGACTCATGAGAAACATGAACGCCGCACAAGCCTGACTGAACAGAGTGAGATGTTTACCTGCAGAACGGTGTACAGAAGCTTGAGAGAAACAGGAAGCTGTAGGTACGAGAACTTCCTGTCTGCACTATTCTTTAACGCTGGGGAACAGAACACATTTGTGATCAGAAACAGAAACAGAAAACGTAATGCACTAATGCATGATACATAAACAATACATAAACAGTGATTGCTATTGTAAACGGAGCTGGTGTGGACTGTAACTGGGCTGAAACGCTGCACATACGCGGGATCTCAGGAGAGGGATTGTGACTGCTGGGGTTTTCTGACGGAGCGTCTGTTTCATCCGCTCCATTCTCTGATTTAAGATTGAATTCAGTTTGAGGGAAAACCAAACTCTCCTCCAGACACTCGGATGGTTCCTGTCAAACACACACGACTCGGTGAAAAACCTCCTCATCTTTATCATTCACATCTGTGTGTGTGCGCGTGTGTGTGTGAGTGTGAGTGTGTGAGTGTGTGTGTGTGTGCGTGTGTGTGTGTGTTTGAGTGTGTGAGTGTGAGTGTGTGTGTGTTTGAGTGTGTGCGAGTGTGTGTGTGTGTGTGTGTGAGTGTG